AGGTATGTTGTGAAAGTAATTACTAAAAAAATTGGCACATTTAGGTACCATTTTAAACATTTCCTTTATGCTTTAATTGCTTAGTTGGCATTCGGTGTATAGTAAAAACATCTCATTTGCACATGCTGTTAGAATACCATGCTATTTTTCAAGGCATTTCATTGCTAGATGGAGCATTGTTAGCCAAGATGCAGTTTTTTGTTGTCTGATAGCATTCAAAAAGGAAAACAAAAGAGCAATTGGTGTAGGGAATATCCTGGGGAATTATTTTAGTCTTCCTCTGACTATACTCCCTTTCTTCCCTTTGCTGTCCCTGTTAGATGTTAACCCTCCCCCCTCCAAGAAAAAGTCAGTCATTGGGGTAATTTTAAAGCTTTTTCTCTCCACGGATAATAGTATGGAGCCACACAAATGATTCTCTACTTGTCATATATATTGGATTATCATCTAAATCATATTATAAAGCAGCATGAAGAAGCAAGCAGTTGTGCTTACCCTCCTTACTGCTTAGCTCAGCTGAGCTGTTATTGTGGGGAAGGGCTTTGCAAGGCAAGGCATTGTCAGTGTGAAAGGGCTGGGGCTGGGGGGGCTTCCTGAGCAGGAGCTGACTGCTGGGGCAAGGGAGAAGGCTGGAGACTACAGAGGGTGTTATTTGGCATTTGCATTTGGTTGTGAAATTGAGTATTTCCGATGAATTTCAGTCATCGGCTTGTTGCAATGAATACAACATAGTTTATCTTGGAATCTGCATGCATTTTGCTTTTTCATGTTTCCTTTAATATGTATAGTTCTGTGCGATCACAGATCCACAGTGAAGGAGAATTTAGAAGTGGTTTTCAGCCTTGCAATATGCTCTTTTCTCTCTTCGTTAATAGGTATTAATGTTACCGTTTTCTTGAGAGTATTGAAATACAGTGCTAGACAAGTTTCTCAAGGTGTTCCTATCTAAAAATGTTCATCTTTTTTTATATCAAAAAATCGCCCTGATTCACCTTCCAGTCAGTGCTGTAGTGAGGAAAGGATTCCCTGGTAAGATAATTGCCATCTCTTTATTTACTCTGCTGTGTTATTTTTTGAGCCTGAAGCTACCTAGTAAATCACGTGAGCCTACTGTGAGAAAGACAGTCCTATTTTAACAAATCCTTCTTGCTGTCACTTTTCTGTAAGGGTTATTTCCCCTATAATTGCACTTTTAAGGGCTTTTTGTGGTTTATTCATCTCAGGGTGTAATTTACATATCAACTTTTATGTTGTGTTTAAGCTAACATACATTATTTCCACGGTGCTTCTGGAGTGAAAAAATACTTGGTGTGTTCGTACTAATCTAGAGTTTCTGAGAACATAATCAAGCGAGAACTTGCTAATTTTCCTAGCAGGAGCCATCTTGTATATTGTTCTATATATTTATGTACGTAGAGAAGTGGATGTATAAGCTCGGGTGCGCACAGCCTATTCTCTCAGGTTTCATTGTGTTGTAACATAAGCATATACAGCAGAGAGGAGCAAAGATTTGAAGCCTTTTGGACAAAAGGGTTAATGCCATACCTTAGTGCGCATGGGTGATGCCATGGGGTGTATTTTGTGAGCTCTGAGGTGGCTGACCATTTCCATTTTGGTGTAAATCCCTCGAGAGGGAAGGCATTTCAGAGGGGGTGTGATCTGTTCTCCCGGTAAGAGTGATTGACGGGGAATGAATAAATACTTAAAAGAACTGAATAAATACCACCCTCCTGTTTAAGTCCAGGCACACCCCGGCTGGCACATATATATTCTAATGCGACACTTTAGCCAGATGCTTGAGTTGGTTGGCAACAAAAAGCGTTCCTGAAAAGCCCAATCATAGTTTAATCACAACCGCTTCTGATAGAGTTTGCTTTTATGGTGACATTTTAGCGGTGATTTGAATAAGTACAGGGAATTATAATATTTTGCAAATAGGCTGTATTGATAAATATATATGCAAAAGGTGACGGAGGCCTCTTGAGTGGAAGCAGGGGCCCTGACAGCAGGTTCTTGGTCAATTGGTGAGGTGAAATGGTTCACTGAATTGGATAACACAGTGCATACCATAGTGACTGATTAAATTGATTTGTCCATGGCTACTGCCTACCCTGCTACTCAGGCCCTTTAACCTATTTTCAAACTTTTTTCTTTATTAAACTGCTCTGAATGCATGCGATATTAAGGGAAGGAAGAAATGCAGATGCATTCACAGCTATAAAATTCTGTATTCTGAATTAAGACAGAAAGCATGATTTCCAGAGTGTCTGCACCCTCCCATGTTCTACTGTATTATAAGATACTTAGCTCAGGAACAAGCACACAGCTAGAAACAGATGAAGAAGATAATAATAAACGTAATTCTTTTATATAACTTGAATTACAATAAATACAATGAGAATTCTTAGATGTATTTATTGCAGGAGGAGAAAGTAAAATGCTTAAGGGTGGGGTTTTTTGCTGTTGCTGTTCTTTTTTTTTTCTAATTGCAAATGTTATTCCTTATTATTTTATCCAGAAGCTTGTTGGGGAAACATAGCTGGGTGCCAGTTCAGAAGGCTGAATGCTACTGTTAAGTGAGGGTCACTAATTTGAAAATACCTGCAATTATTTGGGAAAAAGTAGCCAGATGGATATTGTTTACAAACTTCAAACTTTTTTTTTATGTTATAGGGGGAAAAAAGGCTTGATGTTTTGGTCTTAGATCAGGATGTTTGTATTTCACAATGTATTTAGTATGTCCTTGCTAGGGAAATCAATACTAAATGACAATGAGGCTTGTATGTGTTAGTTTCTTCTTGATTCAAGGGAAGCTTTATATTCTGCATCTCTCCATGGGTTATTCTGTAGGACACGCAGAGAGATGGGTGTAAGTGTAGTCCTCAAATTCTGCTGAAAAACCCCGTAAAACTTTAGTGCCACGGTGACATAAAAATGGAACGAGTTCACCTAAAATACGTTATTGCAGTTGTCACAGAAGTGCAGAGTTCAGTATAATGGGTTTGGCTCCTTGATTCTCTTCCATTTTAGGGAAGATATGACAATTTAATTACAATGTTTTCTGAAAGGATAATGAAGTTCTGTTCATAATTTAACTTCTCTAAATTATAGGTCAGTCTTGTAGGACGTGACAGCATGTCATGGGCAACTTATGCTGATTTTTCATTTGTCTGTTAAAATAAAGATACAGTTAGTATCTTGTTAATAGCGAAGAAGAGATAAGAAGAGATAGGTGCTGAGGGATTGTTCCTTGGAGTGACTTTGCAAATGTTAACAGCCATTTTGCAATCTTTTTAAAAATTACGTGGGTTTTATCAATTGTATTTCTTTGGAAGGCAAAGCAAATTCTGTATGTGAGACTCCAGCTGTACATACAGCTTTGCATGGACTAAACTTCTTGGTTTATATAGACTAGTAGTGACCACTAAGTTCTAACTGAAACAGGGCCTTGTTACTTCCCAGGAGTCTGAAAATTGAAAATATTTTGATGTGGGCTCAAGCCAGAACACAGTGTGCTATTTGGTTACATATAGATAGTTATAGTTCCAGTCTTTTCTAATCCTCCAGATTCCACCAGACCTAAGTATTTGTGCAGTTGTTTTTTAAATTAGTTCATGATGATTAAGGGAAGGCAAAAAAAAAAATTATTATTGATTTAGTTCTCTCCAGTAGCATGTTAGATTATCATAAATTGAATTTCTATGCATTCAGTGCATTTTTCATAAAACAAAGAAACAGAAATAACAGAAAAATAGCCAAAATAAAAAGCTCAGTGGCGAACAAGACCAGCGTAGGGTCACTGTGCCAAAGATGTATAATCATTTCTTCGTATCATGTGGTAGAATAAAGTAATCCAGGGACTGGAGTTCCTGGCGTGTGTAACAAAGTGAAGGGACTCAGTAAGGAATTGCTGGAGATTTCTTCAGGGCTCTGCTGGCTAGGAAGGTTAATGGAAAGAGTGTTTGTGGATTTTGACCATTTATGAGCAGGATGGAGGAACCATGCTGCGCCCCTGGGCTTCTGTCCTGGGCAGCCGTGTCCTGGCACCCTGGGCACCACCACTTGTAGGCAGGTTGGGAATTTTGAGAGAAAAAACAAACCAACCCTATTTTATGACTCTTGCTGGGGCTTTATTTTCTTTTGAAACTCTAAATGCTATTATGAACCCTCTGAAACGTAAGAATTGTAAAAGTTTGCCTCCCCCTTCCTGTGCCTTGGCTGAGCCAGAGGAGACAAGGTGCCCTGGGTGAGAGCCTGGCTAGTGACAGGGCACCACATCCCTCCTCCACCTTTGGGTTTCCCTGGTGGAAAGCAGCACGTCCATTAGGACACAGTTACATCTGAGGCTGAGTATCTCCTCTCTGCACGTTTCTTTATGTCCCTGACCCGGTGACGGGCGCAGAGTGAAGCCACCACAGGGTGATGGGTGCTGGTGACTGTCCCCTCTGCTCTCCTCACCCCGCCTTGCCATGTTCCTCCTGCCAGGCGTTAAACACTACCACTCGCAGGCGTTTAATTTAATGCTATAAATACTGGGATAAACTGAGATGTTGGCGGCGGTGGGATGCTTGAATATCGGGTGCCCTCTAGTGGGGCCAGGGCAGGCTGGGATCCACCGTAAAAGGGTCTCGGTCCCAAGCACAAGGTGGGTTTTTTGTCACTGCTGTGACAAAGGGGCACCTTGTCAGTGATTTAAAAAGCAAAACTCAAATGTACTTTGGCCTGTGGCAGTGGGATATCGGCGCAGAAGCTCCCGCTGTTTCACCAGCAGACCTTGTATATGCTCACACCGAGTTTAACTGACATAGGAAATCTTACACTTTGATGCTACATTTTATAACAGAATCACAGAATCTTCTAGGTTGGAAGGGACCTTAAAGATCATCTTGTCCAACCGTCGACCTAACTGACAAAAATAGACACCCGCACAACAAACAAGAAGCACCACCATCACTAAACCATACCTCCCAGCTAACTACCTTGTCTCTCTTTGGTTTTAGATGCTACAACTGTGGTGGCCTCGACCACCACGCTAAAGAATGTAGTCTACCTCCGCAGCCAAAGAAGTGCCATTACTGTCAGAGCATCATGCACATGGTGGCGAACTGCCCCCATAAAACTGTCTCGCAGCAGCCCGCTAGTTCTCAGGGAAGACACGAAGCTGAACCGCAGCCTTCCACTTCTGCTGTCCCAAGAGAAGGGGGAGGAACGCACGGCTACTCGTCTCCATCGTACTCTCAGGAAGGCAGGTCGGAGATCTCGGAGCGCTCGGGCAGGTCACCACAGGAAGCTTCGGCAAGTAAGTTGTCTGCGTCGCCCGAAGAACCGAGCAGAAAGGGGCCTTCTGTTCAGAAAAGGAAAAAAACTTAAAGCGTTTGTCATAACTTTCAATTTTCTTTATCCTCTTGGGATGTCTACCTCATGCAAGTACAGGGGAAATAATTTCATTATCAGTAGCTGACCTGGAATTTTAACTACTGTTGAGGAACTGTGAATTTTTTTTTTTTCTTTGATAGACAAATCACTCCAAGCAAAATACATTTGAGCAGGGTGCATTACGTTTTACCTTCTGTGTGTGTGTGTATGAGTGTGCACGCGCGTGTGTGTATGTGTACATATCTATAAATATTTTTTTTCCATCAGACCACTCTCCAGCTCCCACAAGACATTACTGTGAAGCAATAGGCACAATACCCACAAAAGTTCCTGAACTCATTCCTGGAATGTATTTCCAAATGTGTTAAAAAAAAAAAAAACCAAACAAGAAAACCCAAAAAATCTCACTCAAAAAAATCCAAACCAAACCTGAAAAACCACACGCAGAACTGAGATCAAGACTGTTACTTCTCTTATGAACCAAAGGATACTTTCATATTTTAAAGCTGCCATATGGTACTAAAGATACTAAGACATCCCCCATGCCATCAATTTGAGTTATTTTCTTTCTCATCTCCACAAAGTATCAAAAGCCCCTCCCCGTGCCCATGCAGTGTCATGACTCAATGTGTCTCTTGTTGCCACCATCCTTTGCTGGTTGAGGAGTTTAAAAGCTCCAGAAAAGACAATGAATGTGTAGTTTCTGTGCTGGTTTCTCAAAATGTTTTGTTAAATTAATATGGTTGTAACTGTAATTTAGATGATTGTTGTGTAGGGGAGAAGGTGTAAGTTGTTACTGAACAGACCCTTTGGAGTGGTATCAGGATACCATCCTGTTTAACCTTTTGTATTCTGTGACCATTTAGGGGACCTTGGTGGCAGTAGTAGCAGCAGCAGCAGCAACTTCTCTTGGTCCCAAGTAGTGCCCCTCAATTTGAAGGGACTTCCCCCTTGTTTTCTGTTGAAATGCCATGGAGAGAACTCCCTAGGGTTTTTTGTTCTTGTCTGTTTTGGTTTTAAAGAAAACGAAATGCAAAGCTAATGAGATCCTGGAATAAATAGTTTCTTAAGAATAAAGGTAGATGGGTACCTGGGGTTGCTCAGTCAGTCTCCCGTGCTGATGGTACAGCATGTGTACAGCCAAGGACAGGTGTCTGCTGCAGGGAAGCCTGAGTGAAGGGACCTGCAAATTTTCCAGAAGCCCTGGGCGTCATCTGCTGCTTGTGATTTGGAGACTGTTGCTGACCAGCCTTGGTCCAGAGTGAGCTGGGACCACACACTAGTGCATTAAAGAGGAGAAAGATTGGTGGCCTCAGAGCGAGACTCCCTGGGCTGCAGCCCTTGCTCGGGGTTAATAGAGTTGGAGCCTATCAAAACTTCAAGTCGCTTTCCATTTGTAACTTCTGAATTACCAAGTCATACGTAAGATAACGTACTTTGACAAATCCCATTGCGGATGTAAGTTAATTAGAGAAACCTGTATAATCCTTAACATTGGCAATAAACACAGGCTGTTAAAGCTTGAAAGAGTCAGGTAGGTTTAAGCTCGGATAATCAAACGAAGGAAACAGCCTGCACGAAAGGCTGCGGAGAGCCAAAGTCCTACCCGTGGCAGCTCTTTGGCAGCCAACGGCTACCACAGGTACGTGGCTGGCTCCCTACACAGCCTCCCCCTTCCCACTCGTCCTGCCAGAGGAGACTTTTACTGTTGCTGCTGCTGCAGGTGGTCATCAAACGCCTGAGTGAAGGGCACAATTTCAAGAAAATTATTTTGTGTGAATTCCTTGCCAGTGTTTGTGAGACTCTCAATGGTTTATACTGAAGTTCTCAGTGTACTAATGCAAAGCTTACCTTTGACGATATTGAATGTGATATATCTATAGAGAAGAACTTCCTTGCCTTACGTAAGGATAGTAAACTTATTTAAATTATGTAGACAAATCAAAGTGGCATTGCTTAACCTTCTAGCCGGTGTGAAAACCAGGTTAAACAGCAAAGATGCAAAACTTAGGTCACTTTGAAAATTTAAACCAAAGTTCCTTATAGAAATAGGCAATTGTGGATTTGAAAACTGGTCATTCCCTGTTTATATGTAAGAAGTTCAGAGCTGAGATAAGGAAATATTTTCAACATGCAGATTTTAATTGGTGCTGTTTGAAATCACCACGTGCACCAAAGTCAGACTGAACTCTAAGAGCACATACCAAACCCTATCTTATTGTTGAAAGCTTAAGGTTTTATTTTTATATATTAGAATGTTATCACTATTACATAACATACTCAGGACAAAGAACTTTGCTCAGGGAATATACCATGTGATGTTGTGTTTTCTTTACAGAATAGTCTACAGACCTGCTTACTCAGAACAAACCAAATAGTCTTAGACCTTTTTATCTCTATATAAGTATTATGTACTGATATTAGTAACTACCTCTGAGTTGACATAGACCTACATTTCTGATAATCAGATCTCAGCATTTTGTATTTTAAGTTCCTGTGAAATGATAAAGTGGTATTCTGTACTGGTTGCTTATGTGAGCATTTGTGTCTTTACATTCACAGGGTCTGAGTTTTCAGAGATGCTGGGCTCCCACAGCTCCCACTGACCTCCAGTTGGAGTTGCTGGTGCTCAGCTTTTCTAGGAGGGGAGGGATGGGGGGGTGGAGGGGGAAGAATAAAAACACAAAAGCATCAAGTCCACTTTGTTTACATAGGTAACAATAAAATTATTATTCTGTTTACAGCAAAATGCTACCTCATATTTACTGCATAAACACACCTTTGTGCTGCTCTAGCCTTAAAGGTGGCTGTTGATCTATGGTACATACTTTTTATCTGTACTAACTATGTAACTGATCGCTCACCACTGCATATGTTATGGCAAATACTTGTTTAAGATGAAGCATCCATTTGAGATTATGAGACGTTTCCAAACATTTCTTTGAAAGTTTTTATTTTTCTGTCTAAAGGATTATGGGCACTGTTCACGAAAACAAATACATCCTCCAGAAGAGACAAAAACGTACATGCCTAAGTTAAACATATAGCAGCAGAAGCTGCGGCAGGTAACTACTTAGCACTGGGCTGCAGTAGAAAAAAAATATCTATATATGCTTCTTCAATAGGCTGCTCCAAATAAGCAAAGAACCCTTTAAAGAAAGAGGCACAGACTGAGTTTAGGATTCTTCCTTCATGTCTAAGGACAAAATTAATATTCTGCAGCATTGGCTCAGCCTAGATTTGCCCTATTCACCAGCCTGTCCTTGCCAGAATGCTTCACAATAGAACTCGTTTGAGTAGAAATAGTTCAAATATCTGCTCAGAGAGATGTATTTTTCTCCTAACAATACTGGAAATAAGGTTAAACCTGGAACAAGAATCTCTCTCCCTCCCATCGTCCCATCCCAGAATACTCAGCTTGATTATCAGGAGGGACATTGTGAGATACTTTTTTACTCTCCCCCCAGGAGAGGTCATGGGATTTATTTACCTGCCACAAAAGTTAGTCCATGAGGAAGACTTGTATTTGGAGGCAGAGCCAAATAACTTTTTGCTGCAGTTGATGGTAGATCTGGCATTGTAATACCATTTGCAGTGTTTTGCTTCTAGCCAGCTTTCAGGGAGTGCCAAACACCACATTTGGATCCTACCTCTTCCCTTTGTAGGCCACCCTTTTCAGCCCAGTTTTACTTTGCACCAGTGTTATCCTGGAGTTCCTGCTTAGTCATACTTAGTTTTGTGAATAGAGCCCCATAAAAAGTGTTTATAGATCTTGTAACATTCTTTGTAAGAAGAATTATAAAAGAACATGGGAAATCTCATCGAGTCTTAAATTTAATTTAATTAATTTATCTGTAAGAAATGTTTATCATAAAAAAAATATATATGTATTCCCCTGTGCTAGATATAAAAGTAATTGGGAAGATATGTACATGTGCAGATGCACTGATTTTAATTTTCTAGAAGTCTTACTGAGATTTGAGTATTGTTTTAGAGACAAGCAGAGCCTTGTTAAATGCATCGATCTTATTTTGCTTAGTATATCAACAGCCTCTTCTTTAAGATCCGTTGGTTGTGTTACCCCTGTTACAACTGTTGACTGCTAACAAGAGGTCGATCTGTGAACACATGCTTCTTTTTTTATAATAAACCAGAGCTGTATATTAGCAGCTTTGGGAGTGTTTTTATGAGAATGTTGAAATGTACCAAGGTATTTGCTACCATTGTCGTTGAACCAAATGTAAGAGCAACCATCTTTACAAAGGATAATGGTTTTGACTACCTCTTGGATTACTAAGTTAAGCAACAACTGGCTGACAAACATCACCAGACTGGCTTAAACTAGTATGTGTTGCTTGTGGTAATAATAACAATAACCATACTAGAGACCAAAGTGAACACTGATTTCTATATGTCTTTAATACTGTGTCTTATCTAGTGTTTTTAAATTATCTTCTGTAGTATAGATTACCTCATTGTCCATTTTGACTTGTATGTTGTTTACAAGGTGAAATAAATGAAAAATCACTTGAATTTTATGTTTTAAGAAAAAGACAGTGAGTTGAAGTTCTGAAGGTCGTTTCACCTGTTTACTGTCTTGAGGGACTAAAGCACTGATTGCCTTTCTACATATCATGTATTTTATATTCTCATTTCATGCCTAATGTCTTTTTTTCCTGTCAGTCATGGATATTGTGAGGTTTAAAAGAATTACTTGATTAAAAATAAAACATATAACGTTGGCATTTACAGTGGGCCTTTGAGATTTTATTTATGTGATAAAAAACCACCGTACAGTCTCGGGGAAGACTTTTCATACACACCTATGTTCACTTAGTTTTAGGCTATTATCTTCAGAAAAGATAATTTTAGTTATATAAGCTGTTGTTGGGAGGAGGTAGGAATAAATTATTAATGCGTACCTGGATCATACTAGCAATGCTGCTGAAATTGCACCCCAAACCCTATTCAGCTATTGACATTAAACTGCAAGATTCTAGTTTTTAGTATTTATTCTCTGTGAGAATACACTGGTCATTAAAGTTAGCAGACATTTGGGTTATACTCTGGGAGGAAAAGTTTTTGGTATTTAAGGCTCATCCCATATTTGTTACTTCTTCCATAATCTCTAAGTTTATACTTATCTATTACATGCTTAAAATTATTTGAAGTTGTTTCTATTTTAGAAATGACAGTGCTGTCATCTACCATCACCTGGAAATTCCATCTCTAAATTACATAAAGTGTATTAGTGAACTGGAAGGCTTATATATGATAACTCCACTGCCTCTGTTTCAATACAAGACTCTACATATAGGTAATTAATAGGAAAATCTAACAATCTCCTATTTGTACAAACATCTGCATGAAGGGTTACCATCTACTCACTCTTCTAGTCACATAAAACTTCATTTACTTCCTCCCGCACACCCAACCCCTCTAATTCATGGCCTAAGAAAAGAGTGAGCTACTAACGTGTCCTGAACAGACATCCCATCACATCCAGTCCTCTCCCCACCCCACTCCATCCTGCAGCCAGATGGTTTCATCACTTTGTGGAAAGGGGAAGAGGTAACTCTGAAGCCCCTTCGCTAAGATCTCCCACATGTCCCACTTCTCGGGCCGGTCACAAGGAGCAAGGCTTTCTTAAAACATCTCACAAGAGCATTCTTTGAAGAGCACAGTTCACTCTGAACACACAACCTGCCTGACCCCAGTTTTGCAGCATGTAACACACCTTGGGCTTGCCAGCATCTAAATTCTGCACCACCTCACAAGATGACACAGGAGAAAGCCACCTCAGGGAGCTGTGAGCAGCTCTGAACGTGCAAAAAGCCCTTAGAAGCAAGCAAAATGGAGAAGCCTCCTCTCCAGTCTAATAGTGGCTGAAACCAAACTGCCAGGAAGAGCAGCAACACCTGATTCTTCCCACCTGGTCTCTAACATATGCATGCCTCCCTGCCAGAGCATCTGGAGGTCAGTGGTCTTCAGCCTTTGTTTTAGCAGCTCCCCCAGACAGTTAAGAACTATTATCTTCATGTTAGTCTTGTGCACTGTGCAAAGACAGATCATCAGGAATACCTAAATCCACTGCCACAAGCCAACCCGCCCCTTCCGAACCATGCAGAGAAGCTGTAACTGCCACACGACATTAACAACAACATTGATTCACACCAACGAGAAGAAATTCTTGAGTTGAAGTTTCTGCATTAGTCAAAAAAGTAACATCAAAATCACAGCAGCCCTTTGAAATAATTATAAAAGCAGCACGTTCATTTTCTTCCCTGTTCTGTAGCTCTTAGGACTCATGCTTCCAGGCTATTTCCAGCCTTTCTGTAACCCTAAGTGCCAAAACAAATGTAGCCCTTTTTGAAAGAACTGTATTTTTTCCTGCAATCCGCCGGGACCAAGAGCCGTTTGCACAAGCCAGTCATTTCAAAATTACTCTTAATTCATGAAAGGCTCCATACCTGGCCCATTCCCTCCACACGAGTATTCTTTTCCCCTGATAATAAAAAATATCCCAAATAATTTCACATACTTTCAAGTTGCTTAGATACTTAACACTCCCCTTTCCTCTACACTTGTTCAGGAAGAAACTCTGTGGCGGAGCAAGGGCACCCGTTCTGTGGATGGCCTGCTCCTGTTCATTGGTATCATCTAGGTGATGTCCTGATTAATTAATGTACTGAATTATCATGTCCTAGGTTCTTTA